CTTGATGGAGACCCTCCAGGGCCCGGTCGATGTCCTCCACTGTGTCGAGCGGTGGGTTGTCGTCGATGTGGCGGTCGACCACGCGTCGAAACTGGACCCAGTTGACTCGATGGTAGTCCTTCCGCAGGCACGGTGCAGGGGCCACGTTGTAGCCCAGTTCGGTCAGCACCGGTTGGTGGTCCGAACTCAGGTCGTTGATGGCAACCGGCTTGGCTAATCCGGTGTTTGCCAAGAACAGGTCCAGCGTCGATGGGTTGCCCGCCGGTGATGTGAAGGTTGATTCGTCCGGAAACCAGACGGAATAGAGACCATGCTGGGAATGGTCGAATAGCAGGCGGCCGTTCTGGTTCTGCTGGTAGTTCCGCCAGGCCTCGTGCCGGGCGTTCAGGTCCCCTCCGATTACGAAGCGGGCATTGGTGCGGGTTATGATGGCAAGGTCGTTCTTGAACTGCTGTGCTGTACCATTGCTAACGGTACATTGCCGGGGGCAGTAGGCGGCGATGAACCGGACGTTTCCGGTCGATGTTTCCACCTCAACGCCGACGGCCTCGATGATGGAAGTGCGGTAGTGGGGTAGGGTGCAGTACTTGATGCCTTTCTTGATGATGACCGCGACACCGCCCCCCCTGGAGCTGCTGCGATCAAGCCGGACAATGCTGTGGTCGGGCAGCCAGAAGCTGTCACCGGTCTTGAGGTGGGTCTCGGTGAGAAGGCCCACGTCGATGTCGTGCTTGCGGAGGAAGTCTGCAAGCTCAATGTTTTTCGCCCCTACGGAGCGAGCGTTCCAGTTGGCGATCTTTATGGCTTCACGGTCCATAATTAGCGACGAAGGAGATGATAGCTTGGAGCTGTTGTGTTCGTGTTGCGCAGGTGCGCTTGATGATGATGGCCTGGGCCAACAGTGTGACGATCTCATCCGTTGACAGCGGAGAATCGTCTGTAGCTTCACCGGTTGTACCGGCCAATCCCGGAGCAGGGGGATCCGTCGATGGCCCGGCGGCTTGACCGGGTACTGCAGCGGCAGCCAACTGTTGGTTGAGCGGGAGCGGCGGCAACACTGGAATTGGCCGTGATTGGACCGGTGATAACGGAGGAAAGTTCTGCGCGTTGTTTTCTGGAACCTTCTTGCGACCGGGCTGGCTGTTGGACGAGGCCTTCTTCCGGATCTCGGCGTATTCGGCCCGCTTCGGACAGGTCTTACTCGTGGCCTTGTGGGCGGCACCGCAGTTGGCGCATGTGGGAGTGGCTTCCTCGATGCTGTCGCAGTTGTCGATCTTGTGGTTTTTGCCGCATTTGATGCAGCGGCTGGCCATGCGGCAATTCCTGGTGCCGTGCCCGAACAATAGGCAGTTCGAGCACTGAGTGACGCCACGGTGGGTGGGTTTATACCGCTCCCACTTCACTACGATATGGAACAGTGTGCGTGTCGTCTGGAGATCCTTCATGGTTGTGGAGTTCTTCTCCAGATGGACCAGGTAGAGCTGGTCACGATACTTGATGGCCTTGCTGCGGGTCATCTTGTGGACTTCGACCGGCTTGAGGCCGTTCGCCTTAATCTCGTCCATTAAGGTGGTGGTGTCCATGTCGTGGAGCCCGCGCAGCACCACTTTCAGCGGCTTGGTGGCCTCGATGTCGTGGGAGAAGTACTCCAGCTTCATTCTGTCCAAGAGGGCCTGAACTGCGTTGAAGTGTTTTTCGGCCGGGACCATCAGTTTGTAGCCTTCCGTGCACCGTTGAATGGTGCAGCGAAGGCCCTGCTTAATGTAGAAATCCAGCTGCTCCCATAGCCCGGGAGGGAAGCCCTTCACATAGAAGGGTGGCAACTTAACTTTTTTCGGCACCGTCTCAGGGTCCGACTGCGGCTGGGCTCCGTTCTGCAGGGCGGAGAACGGATTGTTGCTCAGCAGCTTTTTTGCTGCTGATACAGTGGCGCTGCTGTCTTCAGGTCTGGGTCGTTTAGTTCCGGGAGGCCCCGGCTGTGGGTCCGCAACGCCTGTCGGGATGGGCAATGGGGTTTTCTTCTGCTTCTTCTGGGCTGGCTCGGTGGCGATTTCTTACCCATGGCTGGGTCAGCGAGAGCGTCACTATACAACGCGGAACTAATTCGACTTGCGAACGAACGAACGAAACTAGAGAGAATTCAAATCGACTGAACTGCTCAACAGTCTGGCAGCGAATGGATGATGCTTATTTTGACCATGAATACCTCTTTTATACCTACTCGAAGGCTAAATTCTTCTTGCAAGTTGTTACATTTTTGTTCTTTCGTCGTTTACGATTGGTTGAACATAACAAAAGTATGTTATTAAATAGAGGAGAAAGCGGTTGAAATTTTAATTCAACGTGTTCGATTCATCGTATCTGCACCGCAAGCAGACCGCTCGTAAGTCAACTGGAGGAAAGGCTCCACCTAAAATCGCCCAGGACTTTCAAGACCAATCTGCGCTTCCAGAGCTCGACCGTTGCAGGAATCCAACAAGGCCATCTGGTCGGTCTGTTCGAAGATACCAACCTGTGCGCCATCAACGTCAAGCGTGTCACAATTATGCCAAAGGACATTCAGCTGGCTCATCGTATTCGTGGTGAACGCTCTTAATTTATCCGTTGAAATCTAATTAAGCTGGCCCTTTTCAGAGCCATTAAAATATTCCACAAGAGAGTCGGGAAGGACATTTCTGCTGCTTTCACTAATCGCATCACAGTGAATCATGATCTTAAAATTGCAACCAGCAAGTGCCCTAGAACCAAAAGCGGTGCAATGCTAGTTTTCATTGCTGTGACGACGACTGTAAGGGGCTTAGAAGCAGAATTCTCTATCGATTTCCTCTTTTGTGATCACCATGGCTTCACTTACCTATTTCGCACTATTTCTGCTATTCTCTTCTATCAACCACACCAACAATGGTATCAATGAATGTTGGCCGTCGAGTTAACGTTATCCAACCTTCTTAGTTGCTACTCCGTGAATGATCAGAACTAATCAACTTGCACAGTGTGGTTGTTACTAGAGACCGAGAATTCCTCAACATCTCCACGGCTGTCTCGAGAAAGATAGTTGCGTTAGTGAGGTTGGTTATTTTTAGATCAGGACTCATGTGGTAAGTTATGCGGTCGGTTAAAGCAGAATTTGTTTTTATTTAAATCTAGTGGGGATATGATAAGGCAAAGTGAAAATTTGCAAGGCTGAAGACTGGCCTGGATTGAACCTCGACCTTCTGCTCAGTAAGCAGAAACGGTAACCACTGAGCTATCGAGCCTCGCCGTAATGCTACATCGGCATGTTTCGTCTTGGAATAATTCCCTGATGACTGTGTTGGGAAAGCAGCATAAGCATATACGAAATTGGTCAATTTATTAGGTAATTCGATGTTTTTGGACAATGCTGGATATTTACCCCTTTTTCAATAGTTTTTTGTTGAAAATCAACAATTGGAAGCATTGTTATCGATGCGTGGAGAATTTGCTGATCAATTGGTGATAAAAATTTTGAAATTGGACCAGGGGCAGCTGAGTTATTAACGTTCAAAATCTTTCACAATCTTGTTTCATGTTCCATTTTCGGTTTTCACAAAGTGTACCCTCATATAGAAATCACAGACGTAGTCCTACGTCAAAAGTGCTCCGTTGCCTTAATAGCTTGAAAACCCTGTCCCAAGTCAAGCAATCATTATATCACTAGTGGTGCAAATCAAATGGAGAGTCACCTAACATGACGTAACTTTTGTCACCTCTCATGATGTGACTGTTATCACCTCACTAGTGACAGAGAGTCACACGACTCGTAAAATAGGCCTGTATAGCTAACCTCCCAAGTAACCAGGGAGACTGATACACGGCTAACATAGGACATGCTAAGCTTTATATTTGCCGCATATTAGCCTTATATTGCAGAAAGGCAAATTAGCGGGCTTGTTGGTTACTTGGGATGAATTGATGTATGAAAGAAGACTCAAAAGTGGCAGCTTTACGGAACCGATATCCGTTTTATGTTTTACAATGATTCTTAACACAAGAGTTAGTACAAGAAGGGGCCGAAACTGAATAGGTTATTAACAATAAAATTCCATCTAATTCCAACACTCCTTGCAATCTTTAAGTTGACGATGTGCTAGAGGAAATAAAATAGCTTCAATTTCAAAACCATCCGCTAGATACTTACGACTCGAGTATGTAACAACCGATAGAACCGGTTCTGCACATCGGAGGTACATGAGCGAATCGGCAATCATCCCTTTGCCAGTGGTGACAAGGGGAAACATCCCTCAACTCCCCTCATCAACAGATGAGTTTAATAAAGGGAATGCTCGATCCGACTCGTACTTTTAATTGTCCTTTGTTCGCTTTCTGCTTTCTATATACAATTTCCCCACTGCCGTTCTACAACGGAACTATCAATTCTATACATCAAACGCCTCATCCTTCGCACAAAATTTTCAACTTAAGCCTAATATTGACGTTAAACATCTCCAACTGTTCATTATCATGCCTACAACATTGTAAGAGAGGGGGTTGGTCCTATGATTGTTAATTATGATTGAATAACGAAATCTATCAACAAGCAAAACACCATTATTCCAACGTTATCAGCGCATATTCAACCTGAACAGTATTTTAAAATCAGCACTGCAGGTTTTTTGCTTCTACTGATCAACCATCAAAGCTCTGCGTTACAAAGTTCTCGGTTTGCTTTAGTATAAGTCCATAGCGACAGGAAAAAAAACTAATGTTTTTCCTCAAAGTCCGCATGGATTACCGCTGTTCAAGCAAGGTGGATAATATAGAAAAATAACCCTCTATAATCCTGCAAGCTGCAAAAGCTTTCTTCATACCGTTTTGTTTTTTCTCAAACTATCCTCCTTCAAACCGACTTTCCCTTCCCGTTTTTCCATCTTTTCAAAGTCCCGCACAAACAGATCATAAAAGCAAATGAAATTGCTCCGCTCTAATTATATCAAACTGATTTTTCTCTCTCTCTCTCTCGCTTCTTTCTCCATCGACAGGTAAGCCTTCGCAAGCTCTGGTCTCGGGAATTACGAAGAATAATAAAACTACATCAGCAACGACAACAACAACAACAACAACAACAACAAAAGAAAACTACACCCACTTGGGTGGGATTGAAATTGCGACAGACTAACTGACTCACTGGGGCAGTAACTCGGACGTGGAGAAATATTCCTTGCACATCCTCCAGAGTTGTTCCTCTCTCGGGTGGCTGACAGTATAAAGAAACACAAACAGCCTGAAGAGAGGGATAGAGAAGAAGAAAAAAAAAACGGAACACAATAGGATTACAACAAAGGCGGAAAACGAATTCGAGAGGAGGGGAACTCCTTTGAGCGCGCGCGACAAGGACAGAGAAAATAACAATTAAGTGCACCTTCGAAAGTAGTCCCTTTGTTTCCTATGTATGGATAAGTAGTCGGTAGAGATATACGGTAAGACGGAGAAGAAAACAGAAACTAGGTTAGAGGAAGCCGTTTCCTTCTTTCAACGATTTCGAAACGAAAGAAAAAGTAGAATCACGACCCGGTTCTACAGAGGTTTCAGTGCAGTTTGGATAACAGGAACTACGAGTAAAACTAACGCTTTTAGAGTGGATGTTTCACTATTCGGGCGCGTGTGTGTTTGTGTGCATCCACTGAGTGGTAGGCCCCGATGGCCACCGTTTTCCAAACTCAACAGTCAATATCTGTAAAACGAAACTCGATTGATTTCAACCGCCAAGGTCGTGTAACGAGTAGCTGTTGTGAGTCGACGTGGGGCGTGTGACGACGAGGAGTCTCCTGTGTCTATTGTCTCCGATAGTTTGGGTTCCTTTTCGAATGGCACCACAGTACCAGCAACGTCTGTACCACCATCCGGAGACGACGACGACGACGACGACGACACAGACGAAGGTGAAGACGAACGCAGCTACCGTTACCCACGTTGATAGTACCGTATCAAGCTTAACACTAGCAAGTACCTTTAGTAATACTGCAAGCGATTGTTGTGACGATTTTACCGCCAGCTGCTGCCGCTGCTGCTGCTGCTACTGTAGAGTCGAAGGTTCAAAGGAAGAGGAAGGCGGCAGTCGTTGCGGTGGTGATTTGCAGCTGGTGGCGAACAACTGTAGTCGACGACGACAGCATCGGCAACTACTCTAGCAGCAATGAAACTCGTGAGCCCACTGAGGGCCGCCATCCTAGCCCTCGTTATGGCACTCGCCGAGTCGGCTGGAGGTAAGTGCATCGCTAGAGATTGAAATTGATTTCATGTACATAAGTGTATGCTCAGATGACAATCTTTTGATCAGTTAGAAGTCTTGTTAACGGTCATGTGATTCAAACAACTCTAAATGATTATCAGATCAAAAATAGAGGCGAAAAAATTTGCGTAAAAACTGAAATTAGTGTATTTATTCCGGTTCGGGTGGGCTGCAGAAACAAACTGGTGTGATTAGCCCTGCTTCCTTTGAATTCCGTTTAATCTCTTTGGACCATCTGACCCTCTTCTCTAGCAAGCATTTTCAAGATATACTGTACAAGATAAGTACGGGCCTAAGCGTGCAGCTCTCTATTCATGGTTCATGTACCTGTCTATGTAAGCAGTTTACCTCGTTTTTGACGTAGAATTACGTCTTGCTAATTAAAAAATATGTGTGGTGAAATAGTGCGAGGTTCTGAACGCTTGTAACTTTGTCATTTATAAATAATAGAAAAATCCAAATACGCCAATCAATAGAATATTATATTACGATTGATGAAATTTGATGAAATAAATAGTTAACTTAAGTATTGACTTCTTCAAAAATCTTACCGTTATCTTCAACAAATATTTGGAGCTTGGCTACTTCCCTGCATGCTGGAAGTTGGTCAAAGTTATTCCAACTCACAAGCCTGGCAAAGATCCTACCAGTGCCAAAAGCTATCTCCCCATCAGCCTCTTGTTCTCCATCTCGAAGCTATTCGAAAAGTTGATACTCAGCCGTCTGCTGGTGTTTTCAAATGATAATAAAATCTTTCTCAAAGAGCAATTCCGGTTTAGGAAAGGCCACTCTACCATTCACTAACTCGCACGGGTTACTAACATCATCAAGCGGAACAAGTCCGTTTCCAATACATCTGCCATGGCATTATTGATCGTCGAGAATGTGTTTGGCAACATGATGGCCTAGTGTACAAGCTGCATCGATACAACTTTTCGATCTACCTCGTGAAGATCATCAAAAACTACTTGTCGGGCAGATCATTCCAGGTCTACTTGAACAATGTCCCTTCTGATACATTCAACGTTGATGCATGGGGTTCCTCAGGGTAGCCTGGTATCCTGTCAATGTTCGCAGATGACACCTCCATCATCTGTGAGAGTCGAGTGATCCGTGCTCTGGCGAGTAACCTACAATCAGGCCTGGATGTTCTGTCCGACTATTTCAAGAGTTGGAAGATTTGTATCCATGCAGCTAAAACACAAACCATTCTGTTTCCACACTCGAATTCAAAAAAAAAAACCCATTGCGGCGATATTTAACCGCAATGGATGAAAATGATAAAGGCGGGGGATGGTCGCTTTCCATCTCAGACGACGAAACTCTTAACTCCACCTCATACGAAAGTCTCGAGGAAGTTGTAGAAATGGAAACCCTTGACGTCCCAGTTGACTCGCTCTCCAGCAAAAATACTGGAGTATATCCCAAGAAAAGGTATCCCCCACAACCCTCTCCCCCACCTTCTCCTCCTCGTCCTCCTGCACCCCCACACCATTGCCCCCAAAAATCTCTGCGCTTCCCCGCCTAAAGGCTTACCCAGAAGCCTCGAAAGGCCCATGGGTTGTTTATTCCGGCCCAAACAAAAACCTTTGAACATTCCGAGGATCTCTAAGGATCTAACAACACATTTTTCGGTCGTTACCGATATTTTCAAGGTAACACCAATAAAACTGCACGTTACCGTTGATGACCGGAAGCAGGCTAACCAAATTGATGCATGCGAGCTTTTTTTCATTGGAATACCGAGTCTACATACCCAGTAGTGAGGTAGAAATTGAAGGAGCGGTCACCGAAGCGAGTTTGATGATTTCTTGGGTCCCGATTCCTTCGGAATCTTTAAAAACCGTGCTCTGCCGAAAGTGAAGATATTGAACTGCCTTCAAATGCAGTCAGTATCCGTAGTAGGCTCCAAAAAAACTTATTCCTTGTCAAACTCGTTTCGTGTGACCTTTTCGGGTTCAGCGTTACCTCACTACGTCGCTATTGGCAAGGTTCAGCTGCCTGTACGTCTGTTTGTACCTCGGGTAATGAATTTCTCGAAATGTAAACAACTTGGTCATGCATCGGACTACTGCTCGAACAAACCACGCTGCGATCAGTGTGGCGAGCAACATGAAGAGGGCCCTTGCGGTGCTCTTCCAAAATGCGTGTACTGCAAGGAAAGCCGACATACCCTGACTGACTGCCCGAGGTATAAACAGCAGGGAGAAAAACTTAAGCGGTCTCTGCAAGCTCGCTCCAAGAGAACACTAGCAGAACTCTTGAAGAATACCGCTTCATCTTCTCAGACCACACCAAAAAGCAGTAACACGTTCTCCATTTTGCCAGTTGATGATCTAGACTCTGGCTCAGAGGTCGGTGAGGGTAGTCCGTTTGTCTTTAAGGGCAATACGAGAAAACGAGCAAAAAAACACACCACCAAAAAGCCTCGTAAGGCCACTCGTATGGACCACCCTTCCACCTTGGAAAAATCAAGAGGTAACGGAAATGCACCGAAGCCCATTCCACCGGGTTTTCAACCTTGTAATTATGACAAGAACTTTCCGTCACTTCCAGGATCATCTAAAACCCCAGATGTCCCAGTTTTTCGGCCAGAAAAGCAGCTGAATAATCAGCAAGAACATGCCTCCATGTTCACGTTTTCTGGTATTGTGGATAGCTTCTTCAGTATATTCAATGTCTCTGACTCAACGAGGAGCATTATTAATTTAGTGCTGCCAATGGTGAAAACTCTTTTGAAGCAACTAGCTTCTAGGTGGTCCTTCCTTGCATCGATCATATCTTTCGATGGATAATTCTCCGAATGAGGTCGGGGATATGATCTCTGTTCTTCAGTGGAACTGTAGAAGTCTTATGCCAAAACTTGACATATTTAAATTTTTAGTTAACAACTCACTTTCTGATGCATTTGCCCTTTGTGAAACATGGCTCTCTTCAGACAACGATCTTGCTTTCCACGATTTCAACATTATTCGCCTTGATCGGGCAGATTCGTATGGAGGGGTGCTTCTGGGGATCAACAAGCTCCATTCCTTCTACAAAATCGATCTGCTTTCGGTGACAGGCATTGAAGTTGTTGCATGTCAGGTTAATATTCGAGGTAAATGCCTCAGTATTGCCTCAGTATATCTTCCACCGTGAACTGCGATTTCTCGTCAAAGTTTCTCGGATATCTGCACGGCTATGCCGGAGCCACGGTTGATCTTGGAAGATTTTAACTCTCACGGTACAGGCTGGGGGGAACTGTACGACGACAACCGCTCAACCTTGATATACGACATGTGCGACTTCTTCAAAATGACAATTCTGAACACCGGGGAAGCAACACGAGTAGCCAAACCTCCAGCAAAAATAAGCAGATTAGACCTCTCACTTTGCTCGAGTTCACTATCGTTGGATTGCTCGTGGAAAGTAATTCAAGATCCCTACGGTAGAGACTATTTTCCAATCAAAATTTCTATTGCCAATGGTTCATCTTCTGCTCGTTCGGTCAACATCGCGTACGATCTTACGAAAAACATTGACTGGCGAAAATTCGCGACCTCGGTTCTTGATGCCAGTCAATCGGTTGACGTACTTCCTCCGCTGGACGAGTACTCCTTTCTCGCGCGTGTCATCATCGATTGTGCGCTGCGAGCCCAGACGAAACGTGTTCCGGGTGTTTCCGTCTGCAAGCGACCTCCCACCCCGTGGTGGGATAAGGATTGCACCGACGCGAACAGCGAGAAGTCCGCCGCGTTTAAACGCTTCCGCAAACACGGTAAGGTCGGGGACTTCGAGCGGTACACCGACCTCGAGAAAACCTTTAAGGACTTAATTAAAGCAAAAAAACGCGGTTACTGGCGTCGGTTCGTCGATGGTTTGTCGCGAGAGACTTCCATGAGAACACTCTGGAATGTCGGCAGGAGAATGCGAAACGCGTCATCACCGATTAATGAAGACAAGGAGTACTCGGACAGATGGATTTTCAGCTTTGCGCGGAAAGTTTGTCCGGATTCGGTACCGGTCTAAACCAACGTTCGTGATCGTCCGTCGGGTAATAACGAAATAGATTCCCCGTTTTCGATGGTGGAATTCTCACTTGCTCTCCTTTCATGTAACAACTCAGCTCCAGGAATGGATAGAATCAAGTTCAACTTGCTCAAAAATCTCCCAGGCGTCACGAAGAGACGCTTGTTGAACTTATTCAATCAATTTCTGGAGCACAAGATTGTTCTGGATGACTGGAGGCAAGTAAGAGTTATCGCCATTCGAAAACCCGGTAAACCCGCGTCGGATTATAACTCGTACCGTCCCATCGCGATGCTGTCCTGTATACGGAAATTGTTGGAGAAAATGATTCTTTTTCGTCTAGACAAATGGGTCGAGTCGAATGGTTTACTTTCAGATACGCAATTTGGATTTCGGAGAGGCAAAGGAACGAGCGACTGTCTTGCGTTGCTTTCAACTGAAATTCAACTGGCCTATGCGCAAAAACAGCAAATGGGTTCAGTTTTCTTGGACATTAAAGGTGCTTTTGATTCTGTTTGTATCGATGTCCTTTCGGATAAACTTCACGATAGTGGGCTTTCACCAATTATGAACAACTATTTGAGCAACTTGTTGTCTGAGAAATATATGAGCTTTTCTCATGGAAACTTGACAACTTCACGAATTAGTTACATGGGTCTCCCCCAGGGTTCATGTTTAAGCCCCCTTCTTTATAATTTTTATGTAAAAGACATTGATGGTTGTCTTGATAAAAATTGCTCGCTAAGGCAGCTTGCAGATGACGGGGTTGTGTCCGTTATAGGGCCAAGTGCACCGGACCTGCAAGGACCATTGCAAGATACCTTAGACAATTTGTCTACTTGGGCTATGAAGCTGGGTATAGAATTCTCTCCGGAGAAGACTGAGTTGGTTGTTTTTTTCTAGGAAGCATCATCCTGTACAGTTACAGCTTCAACTAAAGGGTAGAACAATCACTCAAAGTAT